CCTACCATTTCTTAAAGTAGACACCCCAGGGTGTTTCAAAAGGTATAGTTTGAACCTTAGCGTGGGATCATTTTTCCGCTAGCTTGTACCAGATGTAGTGGTAATAAGCGTTTTTTCTGCCTTTTTGACATACAAAGTGAGTTTGCACAGTATATTTTGCAAACCTTATGTGTGCTACGACTGTATAATACTTCATATGTTGCTCAGCTATGTCGGCTGAGTACAGCAATACCCCCGTATGTACCTTTGCCAGGTATGTGTGGACATCGGAGGGGCACATTTGGGACACAGCCATTCCAGTTTTTTTCAAACTTTGAATTTTTATGCTGTGCCTATGTCCCATTTTAGAGTATTTTACCAGGCTATATAATCCAAATTCCCCATAAAGCCATACCATTTCTTAAAGAAGACATCCCAGGGTATTTCAAAAGGCATATTTTGAACCTTAGTGTGGGATCATTTTTCCGCTAGCTTGTACCAAGTGTAGTGGTAATAAGCATTTTTTCTGCCTTTTTGACATACAAAGTGAGTTTGCGCAGCATATTTTGCAAACCTTATGTGTACTATGACTGTATAATACTTCATATGTTGCTCAGCTATGTCGGCTGAGTACAGCAATACCCCCGTATGTACCTTTGCCAGGTATATGTGGATGTTGAAGGGGCGCATTTGAGACGCAGCCATTCAGTTTTTTTCTAACTTTGAAGTTTTACGCTGTGTCCATGTTCCAATTTGGAATAGTTTAGACGGTTGGTTATTGAAACTTCCCCACAAACACATACTATTTATTAAAGAATACACCCTGGGGTAATTCAAAAGGCATATTTTGAACCTTGGCGTGGGATAATTTTTTCTCTAGTTTGTTCCAGGTGTAGTGGTAATGAGCGTTTTTAAAATGTATTTTTTTACTTTTTATAACTTTTTTACTTTTAAAAACTAGTTTTTAAACTTTTGTTTTGCTTATAAATTTTTTTTAAACTTTCCTAAACTTTCTTAAAACTTTTTTACAGATTTAACATTTTTCTAAGCTATTTTTTTTACTGTTAACCCCTAACTAGCAGTACGCAGCACTAACAGTAAATTCCCCATTTTCCCATAACTCCCACCCACCCCAGCTAGCAAAATATATAGTTATAAAATATTTAAATTAATTAATTAAATAAATTGAACCCCTGAGGGTTAAAAAAAATAAATAAAAGTTAATCCTCAGGGGTTAAAAAAAATTAGATCACAGTATAATACTGTGATCTCTATTTGATCGCTGTAGGCAGTGATCGACTGGCAGGGAAGGGGTTAATTTTTATTTGGACTAGGTAAAGTGTGTTTTTTTTGTTTTTTTTACTTAAATGTTATTAAAACATTTTTTTAAGCTTAATTTTTAACTTTTTAAAGTTTCTTTTAAAACTTTTTTTTAACGTTAACCCCTAGTTAGCCTAACGCCAAATCCCCCAATTCCCCACTAACTTCCACCTACCCCAGCTATCTAAATATATAATTTAAAAATAATTTAATTAATTAATTTAATTAATTTAACCCCTGAGGGTTAATTCTTTTTTTTTTTAACCCTCAGGGTTAAAAAAAAAAATCAGATCATAGTAAAATGTAATCCCTGCCAATTGATCACTGTAGTCAGTGATCAATTGGCAGGGAAGGGGTTAATTTTTTTATTAAAATGGGTAAGGGGGGGGACACTTTAAATTAACTTTATTTTTTTAAACAGCAGGGGGCAGGATCAGCACTGATCCGGCTCCCTGCACTTCACACAGAACCCGGAAGTGCAGGGAGCCGGTAGGTAAGTATACAGAGCACATGTGCTCGCTCCGACTTGTGGTCAGAGCGAGCACATGTGCTGGGCAGCTTGACCGGGTGCTCCCGGTATGCCTCCAATGCAGAGGCATACCGGGAGCACCATTAACCCCGCGATCGCCGCGATAGCGGCGATCCGGGGTTAATTTTACCGCGTGACGGACGAGGTCCGTCACCCGTCGTTAAGGGTCTCCCCTGTGTGACGGACCTCGTCCGTCACCCGTCCTGAAGGGGTTAAACAGGCTCTGTTCATGTGAGTTATGTACTTTTGTACTCCAGACAGAGAGACCGACCGTTAGCCCTGACTCTATGGAACTGTTTTGGGCATAGGACCATGTGCACGGTGGATCAAAACTATGACTTCCAGGAAATTCCTGAACCCCTGCTCTGATCTGGGTGATTTTCGGATATGTTGGTCACCCAGATCAGGGCTATCAGGGGATGTAAGATGGGGATATGTTGAGTTTGGGGGTGTTTTCCAGACTTTGTAAAAATGTATGGTTTTTTTTTTCTGCTTAGAATTAATTGAGTTAGCCCATTGTCTTTGTTAATTATATCACAGGCAGAGGGGAGGGATTGTGTACACTGTATGGGAGTGACTGAATGCAAACCTCTGTTTTTATTGGCTTGTATGTTTTGTATTCGGTGCCCATCTATGTCCACCTTTGCTGTATAACTTGTATAAAAGACTAGTGTGTGCCATTAAACTTTCTGTTCCTGATTTACCCTCAATCTAGAGTCTTGTCTCTTATTGGGGGAAACTGCTATAAGGGATCGCTATGCTATTCTTCCCTTGATTATTCACTAGCTCTTGTAAGAGCTGTTCCTGCTTTGCTCTCTGGAGGAAGAGAGGTTCACCCACTGGAACCTGGAGCCTTGTTGTAGGTCCAGGGTGAGACCCCAACTAAGCTGCGGCGGTTCGTAGGGTCTGCAGTACTTATGGTGTCTGGAGAGTCCCAGCTAGCCCACATTCCAACTGCCCTGTGTAGTCCCTCAGGGTTATTTACAAAAAGTGTGATTTCCAAGTGAATGTCAAATTTCAGGCCAGAGTAGCCGAGTAACGGAAAGCTGTTTTAGAGAACGCTCCTGGTTCAGTATTTTGGCCTTTAATTTGAAATTCACTTTAAATTCTCACTTTAGTTAATAACTCTGTGAGTGATTAGTAACGTTTCAGCATTTGGGGTACATAGAGACCCCTTCTGGGTATCATTCCCTTTCCTTTTGACACCAAAAAAATATTTTAATGGATTTCTGAGTATAATAAAATAATAATAAAATCTTCAGTCCGTTACGTTGTCAGCTCAGCTATTTTAACTAAAATTTCAGTTTTCTTTGAATTCCCAGAAAACCCAATGTTACCCTCCATGTGTTTAATTTCTGGGTTGCGTTTATCGAGTGAGGGCAACCACATGCACCAACAGATTTGAGAGATTTCTAAAGAAATTCCATAGTGGGATTTTATTTTTACTATTAATTAGTTCTGAATAAAAAAACTACTTAAATAATACAAAAGAACTTATTTTTTGCTCGTTCTGTGCAAAATTCTGTAATTTTATTAAGCAGTAAATTTGTAAATCTCCAAATTTTCCCCAGCAAGAATCCAAATTCCCATAGTGACTGACTGACGATGCTGGCCCTTTAATCAAGGTTTACTTTTAAGAAGAGATACATTTCTAAAGGAGCATGTAGACCCCTAGTGGCCATTCTGCTACATTGCAGCCAACCTCTACACTGACACAGCCATCCATGAAGCAGTTTATTAACAAACAGTGGATTAAAAAAATAACGCTACAATGGCAGAGTTTGGAAAAATTCTCTACTCAATTGCAGCTACGGCTTGACAATTTTAGTCATTTCAATTCAACTTGATTTATTGATTATTTAATGAATTGACTGATATATTTCAAAAGTTAGATCAAAATAGCTGAGAAATTCCTCAATCCAGATATGTCCCCAGATCAGCTAATTATTATATTTGTATCAGCCGTTTATTATATTTGTATCAGCCGTTTATTATATTTGTATCGGCTAATTATTATATTTGTATCGGCTAATTATTATATTTGTATTAGCCATTTATTATATTTGTATCGGCTAATTATTATATTTGTATCGGCTTATTATTATATTTGTATCAGCTAATTATTATATTTGTATCGGCTAATTATTATATTTGTATCGGCTATTTATTATATTTCTATTAGCTATTTATTATATTTATATCAGCCATTTATTATATTTGTATCGGCTATTTATTATATTTGTATCGGCTAATTATTATATTTGTATCGGCTATGTATTATATTTCTATTAGCTAATTATTTTATTTGTATTAGCCATTTATTATATTTGTATCGGCTAATTATTATATTTGAATCGGCTTATTATTATATTTGTATCAGCTAATTATTATATTTGTATCGGCTAATTATTATATTTGTATCGGCTATTTATTATATTTCTATTAGCTATTTATTATATTTATATCAGCCATTTATTATATTTGTATCGGCTATTTATTATATTTGTATCGGCTAATTATTATATTTGTATCGGCTATGTATTATATTTCTATTAGCTAATTATTATATTTGTATCAGCCATTTATTATATTTGTATCAGCTAATTATTATATTTGTATCGGCTATTTAATATATTTGTATCGGTTATTTATTATATTTGTATCGGCCATTTATTATATTTGTATCGGCTATTTATTATATTTGTATCAGTCGTTTATTATATTTGTATCGGCTATTTATTATATTTGTATCGGCTATTTCATTGTGTTAATGCTATATAAATAAAATCTATGTACACTGTATATATAGTACTGGATCCCTGTTCTCTCAAAATTAGCCTTAAATTAAATACTGTTATATGTTTAGGACTTTAGGCTTAGGGAAGATTTTAAAGTGTGCTGGAGGTCGTTCCATAATTGCTGTGCTCTGTAGGAGAAGGAGGGCTGCTTTCTTTTTGTATTGAGGTAGACTAAATAAAGTGCTGGTACTGGATAGGAGGTTATAGGAGGTGGGAATATTTGTTCATATCTCCTGAAGGAATTGGACATCATGCTGTACAGTCTGCTAAACACAGAATAGTTGTTCTGTGAAAGGACGGTTGGCACCGCAAAACCGCACACAAAGACAACAAGCAGAATCCCCAATCCTATTGCCAAGACATTCATTTTAGCGACCAGGTCCAATACTTCCCGGCCACGTCCTCCTCATTCTGATGGTCTGAGAGAGAAAATGACAATGTATGCAGTGGTTAGCATTCAGCGACTACACTCCGTATTATGACCAATGCGTTCTTGGGGAAGTTTTACAAATCCTTAGTTTTTTTCCAACCATGGCAGGGGTACCATCTGTAGTTCTACAGATTATTTTATTGATATCTATGCTCTGGTTTTCAAAATAATTGGCAAATGCAGACTTAAATTCCCCTCCTTTTGTTCCTCCAAGTGATTTGAGACAACACAATTCTTCATCAATGCGATCATTTTCGCAGTAACGAGCAACTACTGCAAGGCGAACCATGTCATTTACACCAACACTTTCAACCACAGCGACCCTAAAGACAAGAGCATCTTTTAAACGTCTTCTCTGCTTGTCTTGTATATTGTCTGTCATTTGGGTCACTCGTCTTTCTATGGTTCTTGCAGATACTGGTAAATCTTTCATCCGAGATAATGTTGTATCTTTATTAGGCCAATCACCAAATAAAATGTCAGCACCGTATATAAAGGCTTCTTTAATATATTCACCATCTGTGAAAGGTTTGCCTTTTCTTGCTACACGCTGAGCAATGTTATAACTACATTCAGTAGCTTTATGCTTTGCTCACATTACTTGGCTGAATATACTTGTTTGTGTTTTATGTCTACAAACTGCACTTTTTATGGCTTCTATTTTGTCCTCCATGTCATCAAATGACGATTTGTGTTTGGTTTGAAATTGTATTTGAACACTTGATGTTCAGCAAACAACGGGATCACAGCATAATGCACACACTCTACAGCTCCATATTCCTCAGTCCATGAAGGTTGAGACGTACACGTTTCGAAGTAGGATCTGCAATCTAACATTGAGACGGTGGAGGTCTGTTCTTGCAAACAATGTCATCGCTCTCTGTGGGTTCTGCAAATAAGAACAAAACACCTATTTTCTGTCATGTGCCACAATAATTCATATTGCTGCCATTTTTTATTCCTCTTTTTGAAATGTCTTCCTTTTTTGGAAATATTCCTTCTCTGTTTCTATTTTTAACACGGATTACATCCCCAAAACAAGACTAATGATATTACTAAGGGAAAAACGAAGAATTTGCTATTTGAAGATTTTTTGATTTTTGTATTCCTTAAACAAAAAGGACCATCATGAAAGCTGCTCATCTCACTCAGAAACCCACCGCACTGACTGGGTGCATGTTTGCATCTTTTTTATTCACTGGAACCAACAAATTTGTGAAGCAACATCTCACCCCATCAAACAAAAATGAACAGGAAAATACAATGAATCAAGACCTGCAGTAAGGAATATTAAAGGATTAAACAGGTGTAAATGCCATATTCTGTCAGAAAGGGCAAGAAATGACAAGGACACGGGACAAGCCACAGACAGGCCTAGAGAGTTCAGCCCCAATCTAGTAACACCAGAAAATAACTAAACACAATGACAAAATGGGCTTCAAACAGGGGGTTACAAGGTACAAAGATGCTTTTTTCATTTGAGCTATATTCATATTTACACAATAATTAAAGGAACACTGTAGGCACCATAACCACTTCAATGTATTTAAGTGGCCTTTAGTCACTTACCAGATTCCTTGGTGCTGGGTAAGCGCTCCGCCTTCTCCAGTGTACTCTGATGGAGGGGCTAATGCACATGTGTGGCAAGCGCTGAAAGGCATAAGGCTCTCTCCATAGGAAAGCATGGAGCAATGGAATGGAGTCCATTAGAATCCAGGAAGTGCATCTAGCGGCTGTCTAACTGACAGCCACTAGAGGCCGTCTTAGTAGCTCTAAAATGGCAATCATTTACACTGCAGGACTAATTGTCACAGGGACATTGCACCCAGACCCCTTCAATGAGCTGAAGTGGTCTGGGTGACTATAGTTTCCTTTCATTCTTATTTGCCCCAATCAGTCATCTCCCTAGGACACAGATTGCTTTACTTCCTCCGATAACATGTGAGCGTTTCAGGCTCAAAATGCATTTTCTCCACCTACGTGGCCAAGAGTTATGAGGAGGCAAGCTGGGAGGTCTCTGAGCACTCTACGGGGCTTTTTATGTAGGATGAAATAGCAGCCTGCAATGCAACATATTGAACATATACCTGGCTTGAGCCACTTATCTGTACTTACTGTATATGGGCATTATGTTCACCTAGACAGACTTTATTATTATATAACTTCTTTCCCAAAAATATAATTTTATGTATATATAACACATAGCATTTGATATCACAGAAAGAATATTTTTGAGTTCCAAGTTTATATTTCATACCCTCTCTAAACACCATATATTGTCAAAATAGTTTTATTCCTGCCTTAATATTTCTAAAGGATTAATAAACAAGCGATATTGTGCATGTCTACATACAGGATTGAATTTTAGATAATGAAGTAGATTTATTTTAGGCACGATTGTCCATTAAAATAAAATATATAAAATATGAATAAGATCTTTAAGATCTTAAAGATAAGAATAAGATCCTATTCATATTTTATATATTTTCTTTTAATGGACAACCGTGCCTAAAATAAATCTACTTTTTCAACACTTCTGAATTTTGAACCTGATTGCATCTGGCGCTACCTGAGCCTGCTAATTAGTCACCATCCACTACGGTGGAAGCGGTCCAGCACAATCCCTTGGTGGATTTTAAGGCGCTTTACTCATTTAAATTATATGAGTGCAACCATTATTGCAGTCTCTTATTTACTTGACCTGTTTATTTTTATATTGTAGCTTGTAGCTGAATCCCTATTTCCTGTTTTTTTATTCATTAGACATTGAAGAGGTCCAAGTGGGAATGACCTCTAGGGAAGCTACTCTGTTTGTACAAAGTTAAGTACATTTCCTTGATTTTTTTTTTTGTGTGATCTATAGATTTCTTTCTGTAACTCAGGGCCGCCACCAGAAATTTTGGGGCCCCTAACTCAGCTCAGGGTCTAGGGCCCGCCTCCAAATACCGCCCACTGGGTCCGCCTCCAAATACCGCCCACAGGAATACACACACAGACACACATACTGAAAGATATACACGCATACATACTGACACACACACATACTGAGACATACACACAGGCATACATAGTGACAGACACATACTAACATACATACAGACACACATGCATGAGGACATAAAGATACATACATACACACATTCATACATACAGACACCGACATACATACATACATACATACACTCACACATACATTCATACATACAGACACTGACATCCATACACACATACATTCATACAGACATACATTCATAATGGCATACAGACATACATACATTCAGACTGACATACATGCATATATACAGACATACTGACAGACATACATGTATACAGACATACATACGTTCATAATGATATGCAGACATACATTCATACTGACATACAGACATACATATATACATATAGACATACAGACAGACATACATGCATACATACATTCATAGACATACATGCATGCATACAGACATACATACATACATACACAGACATACAGACAGACATGCATGCATACAGTCAGACAGACAAACATAGACAGACATACACACAGACATGCATACATAGACATACATACAGACATACATACATGCATGCAGTCAGACAGACAAACATAGACAGACAGACATACAGACAGACATACATACAGACATGCATGCATACAGACAGACATGCATGCAGACATACAGACAGACATACAGACATACACATATATAGACAGACAGACATACAGACATACACATATATAGACAGACAGACATACAAAGAGACATACATACATAGACAGACATACATAGACATGCATGAAGATAGACATACATACAGACACACATACATGCACAGACAGACAGACAGACACACATACATACAGACACACATACAGACATACATACAGACACACATACACATACAGACAGACAGACACAGACATACATACACATACAGACATACAGACATATACATACAGACATATACATACAGACAGACATACACAGATAGACAGACAGACATACATACACAGACATGCATACAGACACACACACACACAGCTCATTTTCCAGCCACCCTCCTGTCTCTTACCTTTTCTTTGCAGGAGGGTGGTTGGGGATGATGGGAGTCGGCGCGGCTCCCTCTTCGCTGCCTGGCTCTTCCTCTTCACCGGCGTGCGCGCTCCTCCCGCGCGGAGTAAGCTGGGAGGAAGTGACCACTTCCTCTCAACAGCACTTGCGGCTGCTTTTTTTTTTTTTTTTTTTAAGTGGCCCGCTCGCGCTATACCACGACCACAGTGCTGACCGGGCCCCTGAAGATATAGGGCCCATCACGTGGCCCTAAGTGTATGGTTGTCACCCCCTGTTGGCGGCCCTGCTGTAACTATTTAGGTCCCCGGCCTCCCTTATATCTCAGTAACACATGCGATTTTATGAACCTTTCCTCCCACACTGCAGTCTTGCAGTAGCTGACCCACCTGGCTCCACCTCCATGGTTGAGATCATCAATCTTGATGATTTTGGCCAATGTAATGCTCTCTTATACGAAGGCATGGGGAGGCCATTGTGCACAACTCTGTGTCAATCAGCATCTCCTCAAAGAGATGCGTTGAATCAGTGCATCTCTATGAGAAACATTCAGCTCCTCCAGGCAGAGCGAGGAGACACTGAACGTCAGTGCTGCAGGCAGAGCGAGGAGACGCTGAACGTCAGTGCTGCAGGCAGAGCGAGGAGACGCTGAACGTCAGTGCTGCAGGCAGAGCGAGGAGACGCTGAACGTCAGTGCTGCAGGCAGAGCGAGGAGACGCTGAACGTCAGTGCTGCAGTGACTGCACTTAGAGGTGTTACTAGACAGTAATGTAAACACTGACTATTCTCTGAAAAGGTAGTGATTACATAAAAAATCCTACAGGGACTGACTATAGACACCAGAACATTAAGCTGTATACAATACATTAAGCTGTATACCGTACATAAAGCTGTATATGATACATAAAGCTGTATACGATACATAAAGCTGTATTCCGCACATTAAGCTGTATACCATAAATTAAGCTATATACTGTACATTAAACTGTATACTGTACATTAAGCTGTATTCCGCACATTAAGCTGTATACCATAAATTAAGCTATATACTGTACATTAAACTGTATACTGTACATTAAGCTGTATACTGTACATTAA